ACATTTTCTTGCCCATATAGGCAGGTTCTTTTTCTTCCCATTCTGTAGCCCTGGCCACAAAATGCCTTTCCCCTCCCCACTCTCTGTTACCTTTTTAAAGGACCTTATACTTCGTCACATTAAAAAAAGATCAGACTGTTCTAGAAAAGCCTTTTTTTTGTATATAATTTCCTCTGAAATTGCAGATTTAACAGGGCAGTAAACAAAGTGATAGGTAATTGGGTACAAAAACTAGGGAAAATACATGGCCTGGTACAAGAAATATCACTGTTTTCAAGTGAGCCCAGCATTGATTGTAGCATTTGGAGTATCTTCTTGGTGTCTTCGGATGATTTTAGGGATTAATAACCATATTCAAGATCCTCTTTTGCTCTGGCTCATGTCAGTAGTTAGTAACAAAAATAATTACAAGATGACTGTAGAATCAGTAAAATCAGGTAACATCAGTCCATTTTCTGCTCAGCATTTATCCATCGAGCTGAGCTTCCGGTTCAGTTATCACATTGGTGGTAGATTGGCTAAGAGCTGGCTGTGGCTAAATGCAGCTGGAGCAGGCATTTCCGAGCGCAGGCTGTCTCCGTGCTCTTACAGAGGTGTTGGTGGGCAAGTCCCCTGCTTGGTCTGGTGTGAGCTTTTGTTTGTTTGTTGTGTTGTTTTATTTTGTTTTTCCAATACAGATTTAGGCTCCAGAAAATGGAGCTTTGAGTAACGCCTACATTTACAATGAGACTTTTATTTACATCATGTATTTGTGTTCTATATGGTTTTAAAAAAAATGTGTAGAGCAAATCTGGATGCCAGTCCTAAGCGTCTTTAGAAATACTTTTGAGCTTGTATACTGAACACAAAGATAAAATAAAGATGAAAAAGTTGGTGTAAGTAATCATTTTTTCAAGACTTGATAGTGCAATGTGTCAATTATTTCTTGTGTTCCCTGTTATTCATTAATGAAGATAGTGTTCAGGACTAAAAGTATACCTTTTTATCTGTTTTAGATAGTCAAGAAGACAATTCTTTATTGATAGGTTGTATTGCAATTACCTCTGACTGTAACCTAAAGATTTTTAGTGTACTCAGTATAGACCTGTCTGTAGATTGATCAGGAGATAAAACATTAGGTTTTGGAGAGTGTGCAAGTTGGATGTGTTTGCTTTTTTAATTTTATTTTTTTAGACTGCTACAATGGGAAATTACTGATTTGAGATTTATTTCTAATAGGAAATAGTATCATTTGCAAACATCAGTGCTATTTACTCATTTTGCATAATTCTGTGTGTGAAGCTTGCAGTGATTCATGTAGTTCTTCAAGGTGCCATCTGATTTTTCATGGATGCTGTCATTGCTCAGAAAAAAGGGTTAAATACAGTATTAAAGTATGCATTTTGCATTGTGCTTAACCATCTGTTGTATGTCATTGTAATTGCATGTAACAGGAAATGATGCTTTGAGATACTTTGTGCAGAAACCTTGCATGAAGAGCTCCTGAGGGAAATGATGCTTGAATCATTTTTAGTAGCCTGGGATTTTTCAGTCCTTGAACTCGATTGTATGCATTCTGACTTCGATTTTGAGCACTGAATCTATAGAGAAACAAACATACGAGTCTTCAGTAAGGAACGTGACAAAATAATAATTGGTTTGTTAGATTTTATATGAAATGAAAGTAAAGCATTCACAGAATCACAGAACGTTAGGGATTGGAAGGGACCTCAAAAGATCATCTAGTCCAATCCCCCTGCCGGAGCAGGAACACCTAGATGAGGTTACACAGGAAGGCGTCCAGGCGGGTTTTGAATGTCTCCAGAGAAGGAGACTCCACAACCTCTCTGGGCAGCCTGTTCCAGTGCTCTGTCACCCTCACTGAGAAGTAGTTTCTTCTCAAATTTAAGTGGAATCTCCTGTGTTCCAGCTTGGTGTCCATTACCCCTTGTCCTATCATTGTTTGTCACCGAGAAGAGCCTGGCTCCATCCTCGTGACACTCACCCTTTATGTATTTGTAAACGTGAATGAGGTTTCCCCTCAGTCTCCTCTTCTGCAAACTAAAGAGACCCATTCATTTCTCATTCTCTTGAAGGTGCACGTGAGTCTACATGCAAGACGAATCACCTTCAGGATATGAGATATTTATGTATTCGTAACTTGATTACTATCATTTCTGGCTCGTGAGAAAAACCATGTAGGAACTCTGCCTTCAGTAACATATTCTTGCCTGTGCTAAACATCATCTGTTTCTTGCTTGCTGTCTTGCATCCTTGTTTTGTTCGTGTTTTTGAAAACTCTTCTTACTTCTTTTTAAAGCCTCCTCTGGCAAGAGATATTCTGGTGGGTGTGCTGTGGTTGGATGTGTCATGGGGTTACTCAACAGATGTTGACTCTTGATAATTCAGATTCTTTCTTCTTCATAGTGGTGGCTGAAAGTTGCTATTACTGAACGTGTCTCACATTTATTATTAATACTGGCTTTTTCTGTGCCCTGTTGACAGGCCTTGGAGTGAGAGCAAGGTTGGTGTGCAGATAACCTTTCACTTCTGGCATGCTCTTTCAAGAAATGATGGTTTGACTGGGGAGTGCTGTTGTTTAAGAATAGCTTCTAGTTCAGCAGTTTGTGAGAATGCCAGAGGCTTACATGAAATTACAAGGAACTTAGAGGTTCTCCTCACTACAACCGGATGCTGCATCTCCCATTTCTCAGACCTAGTGAAGGTCTCTGTGTGACTGTATTTTGAACTCAGGTTATGGTGTTTCTATAGGTAAACTTGATCAGTTTCTATACATACTAAACTTACCTTTCGGCTAATTAGGGAGGTTTTATCAGAAAAAAGATGCAGTCATATTGTCGACTTGTATTTTTAAGTGCCACATTTAAGCTTGCTGTTCGCATATCTGTAACTATAGATGTTTGCTTATTAACATTTTTTGACATCGTGTGGTACCGGTGGTTGTTTATGATTGTTCAAAATTTCTGTACCAAATATTACCTATAAAAATTTGAGGCGAAACAAAAGATTGCAGGGAATTGTTAAATAGATGAGTTGCTGCCTATCACTTAATGGAGGAAATCACTGTCGTGTTTTAGAGGCCAGTGATATTTTTTATTAGGAGATATTTCTTTGCCGATTTAGTAGGATCAAAATGTTCTCCCTGGCTCCAGTTTTTTCTCAGTTTTTGTGCAGAACTGAAAAAATGCTGTCATGTTTGGAAGCTGAGCAGATTGGGGAGGAACCCCTCAACAAGCAGCCCCATCCTTAGGCTGAAGGATTGTGTAACTTCTACCTTAATCAGTGCATTGCTGAACTTTAAACTACAGCCACTCGTCTTGGCAGATCCACAGTTGTCACTGATTTTTCATGCATTAGTCATCTAATTGCACAGTCTTTTTGGTTTCACACTAACACTTTAAAATGTGAATGAAGGTGATAGATGAGGACAGCCTAGGCTGAGATAGAGTCCTTGATAGTTGCTATTATTATTATTTCCAAAATCTGCCGATAATACTTCCAAGCTGTTCGGAGGAGCAGAGTCCTGGCAGGCTGCTCTGGATTCTCTGTTTTCTGGTTCCTGGCTCCATTGCTTGGCTTGGCTATCACACCAAGGCCCTTCTCCATTTATATGTGTTTTCTTGCTGAAGAACAGAGTGGTTGGAGGTAGGGACGCTGAAGCACTGGCTGCTGTTTCCTTGTCCTCCCTGTTGGACATACCAGATGTAGATTTCTGAGGACACATTGTAGCATCTGTGTAAAAGGGCATCTGCTTTACATACCTGAATCCTGTTCTGGTGGGTTAACGGTCTCACCAGGCAGCTTGCAGCATTTTCCTTGAAGTAATGTATGCTGCTGCCATGGTGGTCAGAGTGGAAATGTTGATTGGAGTTGGCTGGGCCCACTTTGCCCATCAGCACTGCAGTTTGAGATCCCAGCTGTAGGACTGCAGCAAAAGGGATTATTTTGGAGCAGCCCAGGGAGAAAACCAAGCAGTAAATTCTGACACGTATCAGCCAGTTGCTGAGCCACGGCAGAGCTAGGGGAGGACAAGACGACCATTATTTCTGTTTGAATACCCTTTGAATAGGCTATAGGCTCTGGTATCTAAATTTGTTTCACGCATCGTTGAACTAGAATATTTAGCGGAGAGTCATAGCGTTTTGCATGCACTCTTCATATGTCTTCTGCCTTTGATTTGCAATGTTATGTGTAGTGTGGCACTCGCTTAGAAAATTGAAATGGAAAATTCCTTATAATACTGAGAAGATAAATATTTTTATAATAATGTTTCTTGAATCATAGGTATATAAAATTACCCTTAAGAGGAAAGAACAAGATGTCTTATTTCTGCATGAAAGCAAGGATTGCAGTAGGGACTGTAAAAGGAAAACGGACTTTTTTGCTTGTGTTTAGAACTTGCATACTGAAGTGTTCAGAGAAAGTAGCTAAGGGTGGAAAAAACAAAAATGAAGTCAAGGATCTGACTAGAGGCAGTGTGTCTTGCTGAAGAAGCCCAACCAATTTCATGTGTTCTTAAGTTCTGTTATACTTGTTTTAAGTGAGGAGATCTTAGTTGAGAAAACCATGCCCATGCTGTAAGCGAGGAAAAGAGAAGTTGATTTTGTACAAGTGTGTGTTAGCTATGTGCACCCAGGAATGGGGTCCCAAAAGCCACGTTTGTATCCGTGTGAAGTAGAAAGCAAATAAAACATGCACGCTGTACACATTTCTTTTAATTCATTTGAGCCTTTCACTGTTGTATGTTGACTTTGTTAATATCTAACTTTGTTTAAAATTTAAGAGTGGTTCTGTATGTGATATGACCAGAAGTGTAATGCTGTAAGGGAAGCTGCTCTACAGTACAACTTTCTTTTGAAAATATTAGTGTTCATCAAGTTATTCTGGTTATAGGGGGAGAAATTATATTTTCGAGTGCATGGGAATGGTTAGTGTGGTTTTTTGCTGTTGTTTTTTTAATATCCAAATTACAACTTCCCAATGTCTCTTTTTTATTTTAGGCATCAAAAAATAAAGATGGAAAAGAGCAGAGTGAAGCTGTATCGCCATCAGAAGAAGAAGAAACTTTCTCTTGGCCTGGCCCCAAAACTGTTGTGCTAAGGAGGACTTCTCAGGGTTTTGGCTTCACCTTAAGACACTTCATAGTTTACCCTCCAGAATCTGCAGTACAGTGTTCTTTTAAAGTAAGTGAAAAGAATAATGAAGCACTCATATATATCTTTATTATACTGTTCAGTGTCAACAATTTAGCTTGTGTGAAAGTAAATGTATGTATAGATGTGTCTTACACAGACAAAAGATCCCTGCTGTGTAAGGTGAGCACACTCACTTACTGCATCACTTGATGCCGTGCACTGATCTGTTCCAAGAAAGTGGAATTGAATGAGTATGAGCTCACCCAAGTTGAGAATATTTATTACTCTGGGTAAGTCCTGTGGTTATTGCAGAATATGAAAGTATTTCTGTGTACAGAAATTGAAATTTGTCATGCTGTCATACTAAGACATTAGCTTGCCATAGTTTCTTACAGAGTATCCTAAAATTAATATACACTAGAAAGATGAGTTGTGTTTCTAGATTGCTTTTTCTGCTGAAAAGAACAATGATCTGCAATTCCCTGTTAGTCAAGAGGTAAATATGTGCAAATGCATACAGGCCTACATTAGAGAACAACTTTTAAAAATTGAAGTATTTTAAACCAAGTAGTTGTAAATGTTAAGTAGCTAATTGGTCTGCCTTGCACAAAGGGTGTCTGTGTTCTCTTATGTGATGGAATCTTTTGAAACTTGCTGGTAGTACCTGGTGTTGGGGAAAAGTCTGTTTAATAGTGATAGAAATTTGAATATTAAGAGGGTTTTTCCTAGTGAATTTACATAACACCTGCTCATTTTAAAGTCATCGAGTGTGCAAGTCCTCAAAATCCATACAGCCTCTCAGCTTGGCTTTTGATTTTCCAGTTAGAAGAAGAGATGGTTATCAAGGTTGGGGAATAGACATCGAAGCTCCATGCTCTGTCCGGATTGACTCTTGTGTCTCTGCAGGAGTCTTTTATTAATGTTGTCTTTTTTTGCCTGTCCTTGGTGGCTGTAAAACTTCATTTGAAGTAGAAAAAAGCTTTGCAAGAGAAAGTTGGCACATTTTCTGGTTAACTTCAGCTATTCAGTGCCCAAATTTTTTCTCTTGACAAGGAGTCACTGAAGCTAACCGGAAGTGAGACTATTAGCAGTATCAGGTGATCCCAGCATTTCTGTCCTTCAACACAGGTTACAGAGAGTCAGCCAAGAGCAATCTGTTTGAATTCCAGTGTGAAACAGAGGAAGGAGGGTGGGGAAGCCTTAGCTGAGCAGAACTAATTATGTGCACTCGTTAGCATCTCCCAACAACAACCCCTATTCATGCTGTGGGTGAAATTAAACAGCATGAGCAAGATTAATCTCCTTAACCAAGAAGTGACTGGATAGGTTTCTTCCTGAATGTATCACTAGATCTTTCCGAGGATGTTGATAACTTTTGCACATGCAGAAAGAAACAGGCACAAGGAAGGGCAAGTAACGCAAAAAAGAAAAAAGAAATGTCAGTCCCTCTCCTCTCATTCACATGTGATGGTTTCTGAGAGACCCAAGCAGTACAGGTGAGCCTCATACCTGTAAATCTCAAGACATGTCTTGAGTTTGCTTCCCTCTTTTTCTGTAAGAGAGCTCTTAATACCCTTTTTTTTCCCCTGTTTCTTTTCTGATATGTCAGAATGTGGTGAATTCATTTCCATTTCTCTGTTTCTCGAAAAGGAAGCAGTGAGGTTGTTGGATACTTGTAATGCCTTTATTCAGGAGTTCAGTTGCATCTAAACATGATAAGGTTCATTTGGAGAGAGCCCTGGTCAGTGCTTCTGTAAATTAACCTGAGAAGTTAAATTCTCTCTTTTTCCTTTTAATGTCCATGAGGTGGCAGGAGAGAAGAACAGATCTTCAAAACTGTTACTATGGGGTCTTCATACAGTGGCTCTTACAGAAGTCTGTGTACCTAAATTATGGTACTAAAGAATGAAATTCACCTGTTGTCAGCCTGATCCTACTACAAGGAAAATCTGACTTCTCTGCTGTTCTTACTTGACTAAAGATCATAATGGTTACCAGCTAATCACAGTCTCTGTCATTGATTCTAAGTAATGTTCCTCTCTCTTTCCTCATTGATGAAAATTGTAAGGGCCTTGGAAGGTGGAGACGTTTTGTTTTGTGCACCTTAGAGGCAGTGATGATAACTGTGCTTTGGTTTTCTGACTATCCTGAATGTTGTTGTAGCCTCGTTCCTTCTTCACGCCTGAGAGTACATGCAGTTACCTCTGATGTTAGGTAGAAGTTTCAGCTGGAAGTTAAAGATGCCATTGACGTAACAGCCAGAGTTACTTAATCTGCATCCTTGTATCCTCTTAGTTCCTTCCGGTGAATTTTCTTTGAAGCGAAGAACTGTACCCCAGAGGATGTATTGTAGAGAAGAATGGGTATTATTTTATTAAAATCTTTAATAATCTGTTCTCTGCTTAGGCAAATTTGAGTTTTTATTTCAATTTTAGGAAGTCCAGTGTTCTAGTTGTTAGTCTAATAAAACCCATGTTCAGTTGAAAAGCCTTTTTTCAGTTGTCCTGGTGAGCTTGCTACAAGGAAAAGGTCTGGGCAGACCTATCTCAAAGCGCTCTGGCTGGCTGGGAGTCACAAAACACACTTGTCTTAATATATTAACACCTAATAGTACCTGCCTTGAGTTATATTCTGTTCTCTAGGTGATTTTTTTGTTTGGTTTTTTTATTGGTGGGTTTTGGATTTTTTTGGTGACATGTTTCGCAGACTGGAAGCACACCTTACCCTTGCTGTTCAGTACGGAGAGAGCTGTGCACCAGGTTAACAGAATGGGGATCACTTGTGTGATACCTTAGTACAAGGTGACAGTGACTTGTACAGCTGCATATGAGGGGCATCCATAAAGCTTTTTTTTTTCCTCTGTTTACATTTACATCTGACTGGAAAGCAGGCTTTACTTGCTGTTGTTGAAATGTTTGAACATGGTTGGTTATAATCAATTCAGGAAAGTGTCTCTACATATTTTAATACCAAATACTAGTATGTTAGATTTTACTTACATGATTCATATTTTTAATTTATATGTTATATTTTTATGCTATATTTAGTTTCTTTCATATAACACTAAGTCTGCTACTCTCAGTAAAATTTAGGATATTGTGCTAAGTTCTCTTATCTTTACATGGTACACACTGAACTGGGAATACCTGCACATTTGGGAATAGCCCATTCTGTATCCTCCTTGCTTCCCATGTCTCCTTTACCTTAAGAAAGTGAATATGGAGTGTGTGTAAGATTTCTTTAAACTAGCATTGCAAACAGCCTATGTTAAATGATACTTTTAACATCAGGTGTTTATTAGGATTTGTTAGCAACACACTTCTTTTGCGCGTGAAGTTCATTCTCCACGTTCAGTCAGTCTGCCAAACAAGTAAGTGATAGAAGAAAACCTTCCCTTTAGGTGTGGAAGCAGCATGTACCAACATCTTGCAATGTGTAAGAGGTAAATGTAGGAGGGAAAGCTAATTCCGAAACGTTTGTGTTACGAAGCTTTCCATTTTTAAAGGCTTGAGCTCCTTGGCTTGATACCATGAAAAACTAATGTTGTGCAGCTGTCTTTTATAAGAGAGCTTTGCACACGCAGTGACAAACTGACAAACCCGCTGCGGTATTTCATAAATGGTGGCCATCTTATATGAGCTAACTTTTCACTTCCATAATTATTCTTCTCTTTTATAGCACCAAACCAGGTAGCCTCACTTATGCGTGACCCACATTTTCCAGACTCTGAACTCTATTATCCAAAATCCTAAAGGTGTTTTTTCACTTGACAGAGTGGGTGGAAACTAGAGACATGCAGATGTTAGCCTAGTTGTTAGATGTTAGTAAGAGGGAGCATCTAGGTGAAAATAGGTTTGTGATCATCTCCTTGGTCCTGCTTTCCTTCAGGACAAAGCTGTTTTAATTAGCTGAGATGAATTGTTAGAAATATGTCCCAAGTAGTATATATGTTAGTCTAAGAAACTATTTAAATTGAAAGTTTATTACTCCATAAAGCTGCAGTTCAGAAAGAAAACACATTTCCATATCTAAACAGTTGTGCATTTCAAATGGTAGAATTTTGTAGAAGAGATTAGCCATGATCTTTCAAAAGCCTTTCATTCTCATTAAAATACTGACAAGAAAGTAACTTAAATAAGTAATAGTTTTCTATTTTAAGCATGCGATTCTCTCTCAGTACGTTCTAGTTATGTGATTTCTCCCCCCCCGCCCAAGGACTGTTGGTGATACCTGGTAGTTATGATTGTGTATGTGTAGTGCAATGAGCAGGAGACTCTTTTGAGGTTACTACTAAATAGTATTTGGGGTAGATACTTTTCTCTCTGCAGTAGTACTGGAAGCAAAACAAACTTGATATTTTAAATTGCATTATATTCAGAGCCTACTTGCAACATATTTTGTATCTCTTGCATATTATTTAGCTTTGATTCCTTAGATTATTGAAGTGCAACCTCTCCTGCCTGACTTTCAGGGTAGAAACAAGCTTGTGACAATGCGCAGTGCAGTATTGTGCACTCCACGCTTATGCAATGGATCTCCTGTGTGACCTGGTCTAGGTGATCCTCCTCTGGCGGGGGTTGGACTGGATGATCTTTCGAGGTCCCTTCCAACTCCTAATATTCTGTGATTCTGTAGTAGGTTTCATGGCAGTGTTCCAAGGGTTTTGGTACATTTACTGTCAGATAATGCTGTTCATGTTGTTTCAGTGGGGATGTTTCGCAGAACTGTGCTTAGCTATTTTTTGTTTTCGCTTTTTTTAAAAAAAAGGGTATTGCACTACAATACTCGTAATGAAAGCCTTAATTCTGTGTAGTTGAGTATTTGTGAAAAAGTACAAGATGACAGAATGCAGACTTAATCTTACAAGTTCACTTCTAGTCTTCATAGTTTATAAATGCATGCGTTTTTCTGTGTATTGAATTTTTAATATGCACTCTTTCTTTTTCCTTAGGATGAAGAGAATGGGAATAGACAAGGTACGTCTTGTTTTTATTCTTTCAACTATGTTGAACATTTCTTTTAGCTGTGTAATACACTTCAGTAGCTATCTAAGAGTTTGAAATGTAGAATCACTTCAGTGTGACCAATCACGCTCACTGAATTTCATGGCATTGGAGCAAAAGAAAGAAAATATCTGTCTTTTAGCTTCACCTATTTAGTACAGGTGTTTGCATGGCCACTAAGTTAATTAAAACACGTGTTGTATCACTTCTGTACTATCATCTTGTCGTGCCAAAGTTTCATATTATCTTAATTTCATCTGCATATAAAACTCACAGCTGTCTGTGCAAACTACTACTATAAATGGTTTGAGTCTCGTGGATATATTTATATACGTGCATTTAAAAAATAGTGCTGTACAGTGTGTCTAAGAGCAGCTGGTATGAAATTTGAATTTTGTTGTAACTTACTCTAATAAAAGAAACACGTAAGTATATAAACTTAGTGTTGGTAGTGATGGAAAAATTATCCACAAAAGTAGTATACAACTGTTTTTAAAAACTGAAGATAAAAAAGTTTATTCCCATTAGCTTCCTGATATTTTCTTTGTTTTTTAATAGTACTGATCTAACTTATTTCATCAGTTTTGGTACTTGTGTGCATTTTAAGAGATGAGACATGCTTCAGTGTGTTTATAAAATTCTTGCACTTGATTTAGGCGGGATGGAAAAATCACTTATTTCTAGGTTATGCCTGTCAGTTCCCCTCCATTTTCATAGCTTTCTCCCTCTAGCATTGCCTGTCTCTCTTAATTCACCAATTAACTTATTTTTTATTAATTTGTGCTACATCTTAATCCTACTTAATTTAGATTTCTCTTTGGTACTTAGCTGTTTTCTCATCCGTACTCCCCTTTTTGCTGGTATCTTGTTTCCTTAAAAGAGTTAAACATGTGTTGATTTGGGTAAGTAAATGAGGTTTTCAGGTTGAGAGCCCAGTCCCACTTTCTGGTTTTCCCAGTCTGTCACAATGGTGAGGTGCGCAGAGGCGCTGCATTGCGAATGTCATGTGTAGAGCTTCAGTTCGTGCTTCACCTGGCACTGCCGTGCAGCTCGCTGAGGCCAGGCCTGTTCGGAGGTGGGTGCCTTTGCTCAGAGGCAGCACAGGGTGAATGCTTGTTTTACTGCTGGATTACAATTTGCTTTACACCGTAGCAGAGAATGGTACCCAGTTTCAATGTACTTTTTATAATCATACTTAGTTGGAAGGCAGGGAACATGTCTGAACTTTTGTTTCAGTTTTTTTGTGTAACTGATACCCTAGAAGCAGTCTAGGAAATAGGAATTTACTTGAGCTCTCTTGCTTTTCTCTTGGGAGCAGGTGAATTCATCTGTTTTTTCTTTCCAGTCTTATTCAGCTGGTGTAGCCTGCTTGTTAAACAGTGAAAAAGTCTGTCTTCCTATTTTTCTTCCCCCTCCCCATCCACCCCTCCCTCCACAACCTGGGACCTCCTTTATCCATTTTGGCATACAAAAAGAAAAGGCTGATTCCTTTAGGAAGGGAAAGGAGTCAATCCTCTGTGCCAAACCAGCATGGAAGATACCACTTGTGTACTAGAGGAAGAAGTTTGGTAGTACTCTTCTTGCAGAGAGAACTGGATCAGCTAAAGATGCAAATATGGGTCTGTATCGAAAGTGTTACCTGAGATCTATTTTTCAGTAGAAGAACAGCTGTAAACAACATTTATTTGGTTCACTATGAGACCTGTGCAGGTGGGAGCAAGATTACTCTCTGGAAGTTTTTGTGTAGCTATTTAAAATGATGAATCATAGCTCAACTATTGCTTGCTTATAACAACGTAGTATGTTGTGTGCCTTGAAATACAGATCAAAGGGCACAAAGTGCTCTGGAAAGATAACAGTAATCTCATTAGCAGGATGGAAGGTTGGACGAGTGCTCCTTCTGGAAGGAGGAGAGATGACTGAGGTGGAGGATGTAGGTGTCAGCAGAACTTAACCTGCCAGTCTTCTGTCTTGTACCTTTTAAAAAGCACAGAACGGGCTAAATGTCTAAGATGTTTTTCTCCAGTATTTAGTGTGATCTTGGGAGGCAGGGGAATGAAATGGTTTCTTATTTACCTTTCTACAAGTTGTTCCTGTTCCTTAATGAGGTGAATAGGTGGCTTGTAAGGAGAAAATCAGGAAACGCATATCTCATTTTTCAGGTTCACAAGCATCATGTTAATTTAGTAAAAGCAGGTATGACAGAAATTCTGTGAGGGGTTATCACAAGGATTGTTAAAGTAATTACCATAGGAAAAGTAGGCCGAGTCTTTGGAGCAGCAAGAAGCAAGCTGTGTGTTTGGCTGCTGACTGGGAGTCCCTTGCTGAAGCACCAGGGGCTCCAACAGGAGGAAGAGCATGTTTTGGGGGTGTGTGTCGTACAGAGGAGCCATCTAGTGGCAAACGCATGTATTTTCCTTCAAACTTCATGGAAGACTTCCCTCTATGAAGCTGTCTTTATTAACAATGAAAATATCTCAATGATAAACATTTTTCTTTCGATGTCTGTAGCTGATGATTCACTTAATTCACATGAGCTTTCCTCTCTCAAAGACTAAGCTAAGGGGATTCAAGCTTTTCATTTTTGTGAAGCAGTGTGTGCCAGTGCAAAATTGTCCTTTTTTTAAATTACTGATTTTGGCTGAAGATTTGTAATTACCTTCACTTTCTGCTTTGCCCTTTTCTCAGGTTAGACTTACCTTTAAAAGTTGGGGTTTTTGTCAGGTTCAATATTTACAGATTTGAGTAGGTTAGTGTAGAGGAAAACATCTCTATTACTATTTCCTTTTATTGAAAGCACTTGAATATTTTTGCAAAGGAGGTGAGTACCTAATTAAGTCTATAGGGCAGAAGATAAAAGGATGTACCAGGTTTGATGTATTCCAGCAGCGAAAGAAATATTGTTATATGGTTTTGTATTCTGGTATGGAATTCTAGTGCAATTTTTTTATTAAAAATTTTGATCATGCTCCTGGCTTGCATTAATCTTGCTTTTGGTAAGCAGTAGGACTTCAAAGCATTTAGAATAAAAGGTAATGCAAATTTGTGCAGGAAAGCTCTGAACTAAGAGTGACACAGGAGGGAGATGATGGCCAAGAAGCAAGAGAGGATGCAGTGGATTGGGTTGTCAAGTAAAGGATAAGGGTGCTGTGGACAGGAGAGACCTTGTGGTCCACAATGGGACAGAAGGGCACCATCTCAGTAGCATGCATAGAAGTAAGGGAATGCCTACAGTGCTGTATAATGCCTTTTTTGAGGGCCTCTCTGAAGCCCCTGTACACTCACGCATGCAGCACGGGGAACAGGCAGGAGGCATTGAAGGTCTGCGTGCGGTTGAAGGGCTGTGATCTCACTGGGGTCACAGGGACGGGGTGGGATGGCTCACAGAAATGGGCTGGAGTGCAGCCATGGATGGGGACAGTCACTTTGGGAGGGACAGGTTGGGAGTATGCAGAGGTTGATTTGCTTTGTTTTCAAGTTGTAAGGGAGCAGCAGGGATGTGTAGAGCTCTGACTTGGGAATATGTGTTACATTGACCAGCCTGTATTAACCTGGAGTATTTCTTATGTGTGTTTTGAAGATGGTATGCGATAAGTATTCTTCCTGTTTTCTGGAGTTGTCCTATTTCAAAATCTTATTTAAGAGGTATCTCATAGGCAGAAGTCTCCCAGGAGACGACTATAGGAATATTTGAAGACAAGCTGAAAAATACCTATACCTATTAAAAATAGTAATTATTAAAAATAAGCGTTATATTAAAAACTTGCACTGTCAACATGCAGCAAGTGGTGCTGGAGAAAACCATCTCACTGCCATGCTTTGTGTCATTTCATTTTGCATTTAATATGGTGAATATGTTGTTGTCCTTCAAAAACACCTTGAAGCTGTAGTTGGAGAAACACAGGTTTAGTACATATTAAATGAGTTGGTTGTTCCTTGTATCTTTGTCATAAAACATGTTTTTCTTCAAAAATGTTTGGCTTGTGGATCATGATTAAAATGAGCACTAATAAGTATATAGAAATAATCTGAAAGGAATTTCATCTTTCATATGAGAGCTAAGTTATTTTATGTTTAATGCAGTGCCTGGAAATCTAGTACTATAATCCAGTGTCATATATTTTTAATAGGATGTTCTCACTTTCCTACTTTGTCTTCTATTTCTATCTAGGAGTATCTATAGCAGCTAGCAGCTTTATCTTCCCATAAAAATGAAAGGTCAGTTAGGTATATTGCTCAGTGTCTTTTTCTGTAGAAACTGAGTGTGCACTTTCTAATGGTACTTTAGAGATCTGTTTTAACTGAGATTTCTAGCTTACTAAATTGTGATCACTAGGCTATTTTTTATGTGCATAATTGTGGATTAAAGTTTCTACCCTTCGGTTGTGTTAGCTAAATAGCTCTGATTTATCACCTGAGCCCCTTCTGCTCTGTACAAGTCTGCTTTGACCAGAGCCTTTGTGGGAAGAGCAGAAAAAATGGAGGAAAAGCTTTTTATTCCTTTCTGCTGCTTACATAGTGCCTTGAGTTTTTTTATGTTTTATTTCTTTTAACAGACTTAATTTCTGTAACGTGCTTTCTGTTTTCCCAGAATTTAATTTAATACCACATTTTCTAACATCGTCTGTCAGATCAGTCTGTTACGAAATAAACTAATTGTACCTGTGATGATGGAAACAAGGTAGATAAGGAACAAGAGAATGAACATGAAGGCAAGTATTTGGAAAGGTCAGAGATTGCTGGGATGATACGGTCTGAGGTATATGATAGTGGAATTAGGAGTAAGAGATGAGAGGTATGCAACACTAATGCTTTAGGATAGTGCCAGCATAAATTGTCCTTTTTTGTGGATTTTTAATCCAGCTTTATTTTTTAGCATTTTTTTCGATTTAAAAGAATTGGGAAAAAAAATCATAATACTGGCAAATAATGCAATGGGAAAACACGATTTTGGAGAGTTTCTATTTAGGCTG